TCTTCTAACATTTTATAATGTTAGAAGATCTGCTCAAGAAATCTAAACAAGTGATGGCAAGCTACTGAGACATGCTTTGTTTCCAATCACTTTCAAAATGTCTTATCCTACTAAATACATTTGTTACTGCAATCAGTGCCAGATTTCTATTATAGTTTGTTAGCAAATGACTGTGAGGAAGTGAGGAACCAAAATCACTCCCACACATAGTCTTAATTGGTACATTGGTACACACACACACACACACACAAAGGATAGGGGCATGAAATCAGTTCTGGTTGTTTGTTTGTCTGTCTGTGTGTTTGTTTGCTGTTTTGCCTCCAGAGCTTTTCAAATTTCAATTTCAAATTCATTCATTCATTTTCAAATTTTGTTTGATGTTAGATACCAATAACAACTCAAGCTGATTCATTTTTGGTCAAAATCTGGTTAAAGTCAAAGTCAAGGTCACACCAAATGTAAAAATCAGTTAAAAAAAATCTTCAAACTTCACAACAATATGCTACACCCTGGGGGACATGAGTACCTAAAATTGGCCATTAACATTGGCCTTTAATGTTAGCACCCAAGGTCAAAGTTGACCTTGACCAAAAAAAATTAAACCATATTGAGTATTATATCATATGAAAGGGCATGCAAAGAGCTGTACGACACACTTTTTATTTTCTCAATACAACATCCTATGACGTCACCATGATGCTGGAAAGCTTTGCAAAACCACATAATTATATCTTTAAATCTCACGTTTTACAGCTTATAGAAGTCAAAGATTCCAGCCAGAGCTGCTCCAGTATTAAAGGTAAAGATCATGAAATACACTATTCTAGCATGTAATGCTTAAAAGGTCATAGGTCAAAGGTCAGGGTCATATGAGCTAGGATCATCTCCAAACTTTAAACCAATATATTCGTCACTGGGGGGGGGGACATAAGAACTTTCTTTTTTTAGCTCTTTTTTCAATTCAACGCTTGATGATTTCAAAACGACACAAAATGATCAATATGCTACACTAATATACTCCAGTAGATTTCCATGTTAACAATGCTGACATGAACATGAAACATTAAAGTTTTAGCATAGGTCTTGCCCTTCAGGGGAATTTGCTCTCTTTGAGTGTTGTTGTTTCACTTTGTACCTTAACAGCCATTTCCTGGAAATCATGTCCAGCGCTGCTGACAAGATCTCTGAGGCGAAAGATGGGGCAGTAAGGATGATTCTCTTTTTCATAGAAACATCTCTTTAGGTAGCTTTCATCAGAAGTTTCAGGGACATTGGCTCTAGAAGTAATAGACAGCAGATGTGGAGTTAATGATATCAGAAACTTGTGTTTTCACTCAATGAAATGACACAAACCATTTACTTAAGTGAAAAGATGGAAGTTAGAGTTATCAGGGTTTTGCTGATGGCAGCAGATAAGGCACAGCTGGTTCCATGCCTGAACCAGCTGTGCTCTTTCTGTCTAAAGTTTGTATGTTTTCCATTTGCCTGTTTGGGGTTTCTTCTCACAGACCAAAGGCATGCATGTTGTGTTATGTGGTCATTCTGAGTGGCCGCAGGCGTGGATGTGAGAATGTGTGCCCTCTTTTTTGCCCTGTGATGGACTGGCTGCCTGTTCAGGGTGTATCCTGCATCTTAGCTGACATTAGCAGCTAGATGGATAAGCATTTAAGAAAAATGGGATGGATGGATGACTTGAAAGTGCAACATCAGAATCTGACTACCGGTTGTCATACTTAGGATAATATTGACAATTTGACTGAAAACTTGAATCTCTGAAAATATAATTTTTAGAATATATATTAGTCTTTGGTATTTCTTCCTTTTGCTTTACTAAGGCCCAGCCCTTGGTCTTTACACCATAAAATGTTGGGCTTGGCCTATTATCCTGCAGCACTGTGAATCCTTCAGATGCAAAACAGAGGCCATGTTTTTGAACAGGAAGGGGCTACTGGCTGAGCGTGAAGGTCCTTTATTATAGACATACTTGTCCAGGGTAGAAAACAACTCTAGACTTCACATCCAGAAGAAGGTGTAAGCCGAAGCATGTAGGTGTATTTTTAATGTCACTTGCCCACAAAGAAGCTACTTTATTACTCGCATAAACTACTAGGACTGCCAGGACCTGGATTTTTTTAAGCCAGTTTTGGTTAGATTCATTCATTTTCTTCCTCCTGATGGTTTTCTTGTGCCCAGTAGTCTGTTACTTCCATAGCACTAGGTGGTCCTCTCAATAAATAGGACTTTTTTCCATTATCTACATTTTTTAATATAACTTTTGCTGACTTTTGCTCACTTGGTCTTTATTGATGTCTTTTGATTTATCTGTGTTTGTTTTGTTTTTTTCCTGCAGTGAATAAAGCTGGATGTATTGATCTTCTATGGCCGCTTTTGGACACTCTGCATCCATTTTCCAGCATTTTAGAGCTCTGCCCCGTAGGAACCTTCAAACTCACAATGACCCGGTCAAAGCTCTTTGTTGCTAAGAATAACAGGCTGACTAGTGACACTTTCGCTCAGTTATGATGGAATATGTGTTCTCCAAATCAACCTGTTCTATTCTGCTTCAGGGAAAGGAAACAACTCAAAAAATGTTACTTTTTGCACAAAGATGTTAACAAATTCAGTGCCACAGTTTGGCTATAAATATGGCAGAATATAAGATTTATCTTCCTTTTTTTATATGATTATAAATGTTTATAACATTTTTAAAAAAGGTGAGAAGCTTTTTAATGTGATCTTATACCATTTTAACTTTGCCTTAACTTTGGTCCTCAGATACGCACATATGCATCTGCATCTGTACCACTGTGCACTCACTTCAGAGTTTCACTGTCTGGACTCCAACTAAGCTGACTAAGCTTTCTTCAGTGTACACTACAAAAGTGGCGCATGCAGCATGCGTATGTCAGTCAAACCAAAGCTTACACCCTCTAGCTGCAAGCAAAAGAAAAAAACGTAACTGGATACAGGACACTGTAAGATGTGTAGTGTTGCCAGCCATTTGAAGTAAGTTCCATTCAGGCGAAAGCATTACCTCATTAATCACAGGCATGCCAACATTAGATGGGGAACATAAGAGATGTATCCGTAATTATAGTAAGATCTTGACAGATGAATTAGCTACAGCTGCGGCATCTCTGTGCATTATTGCAGGACTCGTGCAGGGAACAGCGGAGAGGGTAGCTCACTGGGCTAGCCCATTCTGATCAAACACCTGTCCAGGGCAAGGCTTGCTGTCAAGGACGTCTCAGATGACTGTTTCACTGTCTCACTGAGTGCAATGCACAGAATGGTATAAATAGATGGCTCTCTGCACCGTAAAGCTATTTAAAGCACCCACTGGAGCGTGCATATCCCCCCAGGTCACTCTATGCCCCAATCCCTGGAAGACATAGGCACACCAGCAATCAGCAGCCACTTATAGCTACTTACTTGGAGAACTCAAACTTGGGGAACCTGATGAAATTCTTGATGTAGATGGTGAAGTTTTCTGCATCACTCAGTAAGGGCTCTCTGGAAATGAAAGAGACAGGCAGCTGTGTGAAAAAAGGGAGGCGACAGCCTATGCCAGTAATAAATAGAACCTGTGAAATATCTGGGTCTGTGTGAGGGATCAGAGCCAGTGTTAATGCAGCAGCAGCTCAAAATGGCAAATTTCCAAAGTTCTGTGAGGGATGATGAATGCTCACGCGGGTCTCTTGTTGTATTCAACGGGACACCAGGCATGAATCTCGCAGGTCCCGGTGCTGTTTAAACACAAGCCAGTCTTGATTCCTAACAGAGAGAGAGAGAGCAAAGAGTTGGCAGGCTGTGTGGTGGAGCTGAACGAGAACTTAAAAAATGAAAAGACACAGAGAGACATAATGAAATGTGTAATATTAAAGAGTGGCGGTATCAGGACAATATTTTGTATTGTTTCATTATACAGATCATAAATCAGAGAATGGAAAAAGCGAGGATAAATCCAAACAAACAATCAGATTTTTACATGACTAAAGTGAAGTGAACATCCCTCACCATGACCTGCTGTTACAGGCTCCCCCTCCATGCAGTCATCATCAGTTTTGCATCGTCCATCTGGCACCTTGGAACTCTGTTAGAGGCACAATTTAAAAAAAAAAATATTATTATTATTTTTTTACTATGACTTTTCTGCTTTCGGTAAATGCTAATGTCCTTCCAATACGCACCTCAGCACAGAAGCCCAGCCTTTGATTGGGAGTCTCTATGTAATTTGTTACAACAAAGAACACCTGCTCACCCTGCAAAATAAAATTAAGTCCTGGCAGTGAGATGAAGAAGCAAAATGTTAAACAAATTAGTGCCCCCAAGAAGCTCAATATTGTTAAATCTGCCGAGACAGACATTGAGACTAATGATACAAGGCAGCACAAACATTCAATAGCCTCGTAATATGTCTTGACAGGAACATAATTAGCGAATGCTGCTATCAGTGCCATCAGTGTTGCTATCCTACAAACTAAAAGATAGACTCACATTTGGGGGTATGACATAGTCCTCGGCACTCCACAGGTAAGGCCCCGTCTCAGAAGTGTTGGTCAGAGTGACGCCTTTAAGCTTGGTGATGACTGAGCTCTGGATGGCCTCTTCTTTCTCCTGGTACCCCTTCTTCACCACAAACACCCACCTGGGACATTCAGCACAACTTCATGACGTGGCAATGTAGCACTTGTCTACATTGCAGAGTTATGTTATTATTACTAATATTACGATTATTAAAGTGTTTTAGAAAATATCTCGCATATGCATAAGGGGTAAAACGCTTGAAAATACCATAAATTAAAGATTACTGAACGACAAATCGACTGTTAATAGCAGGCTTGATTGTATAACCACCAGCCACTTAAAAATGTCACACTACAGTTTGTCCTCTCTTTATTAACCAGATAACCCACACGGGAGTATTAGTAGGAAAGGCCCATACTGCGCTACCACTTTAACACAAAGTAAAAACCTTTCCACAACCTCCACTATTTTTAACTTTGTTAGTCACTCTCCCTTTTATTATTCCATAAAGGAAACACGCTAGTTGGAGGGGGTGCATGCAGTTCACCTCACCCAATAATGTATCCCAGCACTGCCAGCTGGTAGAGCCGAAATAATATTCCGATTCTTCTGTTTTCTGCAATGACATATTTCTCCGTTTTGTAGTTGAGAAGAGAAAAGAAGAAGCCCCCCCAGCCTGCCATTCCTCCCCGCACGGTGGAGCCGAGTGAGACGGCAGCTCGCAGTCCCCCAGCTGATATATACTGCTTCTCTTGTCATGCAGCGGGCAAACCCACTGAGACAGGGGATGCAAAACACCGACTCAGTTCCTTGTGGAAGAGCGACGCAGTGAAAGTTTATGTTGTTGCATGGTTTGATTACACACTCACTTTGACTTACATGAGCTGTGTGCAGCAGCACCATTGCTAATAATTCATTCCTGTGCAAATACGGCGACTTGTACTTTTCCAACAGTGTTTTCCAACACTGTCATGAGTGTTTACAAGTATGGTAAAATTATTTTTGTAACTGTTGCATTTTTAAAAAGAAAAATGTGGACGGAGCTAAACGCACACTTGGCATGAGTTTCAGCTGTTCTTCCAGAAAAAAGCAAATTTCATAGAAAAAGCTATTTACCAAATTCGGCCATGTTTGTAGTTTTGTGCTGTTCTACACTTGTACCGCATTCTGTTTGTGTTGTTCACAATGAACATGCTGAGCAGAAACATTTAGTACTTTTTTTATTCAAATCACAGCACAGTGTTTTGTTTCGGGGTTTCTTTTTTTTTTTTTGGGGGGGGGGTGTTTTGTTTTCTCTTGTCCCCTCCCATGTACGGTCATCTTGTCATTGTCACCAGATTTCAGTAAAACATATACCTCCACTAACAGTGTGTCGACAGGGGGGGGGTTTATAGAATTTATGTTGCAATGGATGGCCAGTCAAAAAAAAGAGAGAGAGAGAAAGAGAGAAAAAGACAGGCACTTGATGTCTATAACTGGAAAAACTGAGAATGAAGACAACATATTCATTGTTGAGAAATGCTGCAGAAAGGTTGAGGAAGCTGCAGCAGAGCGCCTTCACTAACAGACTCATTCAGCTCCGCTGCCACGGGAGCTGTGGTAGTAAGCTATACCAACCAAAACGCCATGCATGCTCTCACCTTAGAATCACAATTTCAGTGTTCAGTAAGATTTCTGGGACTGGATTTCACTGGAACACCTGGAGCCTGTGGCCCTGCGAATTCATGTAACCAGAATGAAGATTGATTTGATTGGAGAACTTCTAGTAAGCACAGAAGTAAGCTCCTTCTCCCTCTCCCCTCTCCCTTATCTTTCCTGCTTGGCTTCTCATGTCTTTTGTATAGTCTCGCTTATTCTCTAACCCCAAGAGAGTCTCCGAGACTTGTTCTCTAAAAACCTACAGAAGAATTATGGATTTCATCAACTGGTCCCTTAACGAAACTGACAACTCCTGAGCTTGGGAGAGCCTGTCCTGCAGAGACGTTTGCTGCCGGATACTCGATGGTCGGTTGCGTCGTGTGTCTGGCGACACTCTCGATGGAGGACTTTGAATGACATCTACCAATTCGGAACCATGATAAAAGAATTCTGGCTGATTGGAGCTGGCTCTGACCTGGCTTATCGCCACAAGGCTGGCCAACATGATAGACGATGAGCAGGGCTGTGAGTACTCAGACTGTGTTTTTTTGGAACACAGTCTGAGTACTCAGACTGTGTTTTTTTGGAACACAGTATGGATAAGATCTTGGAGAAGCTCATGGCTCTGCAATTTGAATAACATCTTGAAGAAGAACAACAGGAATTGAGAGACCTGGTGACCAGTGACGGACATTAGACCAACTGTAAAATTGGAAGCAGTTTGTTCGCACCAACCAAAACAACTGCCATCTTCATCTCATGCGGCCTCCCTGGTGCCAGCTGGATGCTCAAGGCAAAAGCTGACAGAATAACAATTCTCTCCCTTAGATAATAAGACTGTGTTGTGACTCTCTTCCCCCTCCTTCAAGGCCACCCGCGTGTCGACCGAAGATTGTTGACTTTTGCTTAACCGGGTGAAGGGACACTTTCTCTCGGCTGAACACAGAACACACACACACGTACACTGACACAGACCTACACTCACCCCCTCTAAAGCTTATGTCTTCCATGTTGTGAGATGTGATGATTCATGTGCTATGTGCTGAGGTGTTTTTTCCTGTTCTCAAACTGAGCTCCCCATTGGAGTTCTTTTTTCTCCTTGTCTCTCCTCATGTTGTGAATTTTCCATTGTTATACCTCTCTGACCCAGCTTCCCCATGTGATGTTTGTGTAATGTATGTATGGTCGGAAGGGTAAGATGGCGCTGGCAAAGGTCAGCAGCTTTAACCCAATTTCCTTCGGGGTCAACCTTCAGGTTCAATAAAGTTTTATTGATTGAATGATTCCTGTGGCATTTCATGAACAACAAGCTTCATCTTGCCACAGCTCATATAAAAGCTCAGTTTCTGTTCCAGAATTTCAGTAAACTGGTAAATAACACTTTTCACTTAACTGGTCTGAAGAGAAAAACAAGTGTGCTCCACTTATAAAGGGTGTAAAGCAACAAAGACTAATTATTAAAGAACATGGGCAGAATCTGAGTTTATTCAAATTTTTATTAAGCCATCAAAAGCCCAACTTAACATAACACAAGTTGATTAATATACAGCATAAGATGATTTATCATGCAAGTGCATTTTAGTAAGGCTGTATATGCATTTGAATCAAAGGAAACCACCCTAGAATTTAATCTAATCCTTTATTCAGTTAGGTTCTGTTGCAAAGTAAATAAAAACATTGAATCATTTATTGGCCACCCCTGAGACGCAGGACAAGGTGGAGGGTGGACTCCTTCTGGATGTTGTAGTCAGAGAGGGTGCGGCCATCTTCCAGCTGCTTGCCGGCAA